GAAATTCTGATGGGTTTTCCTTTGTAGGTCACTTTCTACTTTAAGAATATTTTTCTTCATCATCAATTTTTAACAGCTTAAATGCCAAGTGCCTTGGAGAGAACCTCTTTGGATTGAGGTAACTAGATGTTCTATTTGCTTTTTGGATTCAAGGACTTAGTTCTTTCCATCAGTTTCGGAAGTTCTTATCCAGCATTTGTTTGAATACACTCTCTGATCCATGCTCCCTTTCCTCTTCCTCTGGCATTCTATAATTCTAACATTGCTTTTCCTGATGGAGTAAAATAGTTCTTATAGAGATCTATCATTTTTCCTTATGATCAGTTCTCTCTCTTCTTTCTGTGTCATTTCTGAATTCCTATCTTCAATATCACTAATTCTTTCCTCCAACTGGTTGGCTCTGTTTTCTATGCTCAGAATTTCACTCTTAATCTTCTTAATTACATGCTTCATTTCCAGGATTTTTGATTGTTTTTTTTTTTTAAATAAAGTTTCAATGTCTTTGGTAAAGTACTCCTTTTGTTCATTGATTTGTTTTCTGAGTGCATTGAATTGCATGTCTGTATTTTCTCACATCTTGAGTATTTTCAGAAATGCAATCTTGAAATCTCTGTCATTTATATCACATATGTCCATGTGTTCTGGTTTGCATTCTGGGGATTTTTCATTTTTTTTAAGGTCATCCTCATTATCCCGTTATTCATTGTATTTGCTATTTTCCTTTGTCTAGGCATTTGTTTCTATCTATATTAATGAAGATGTGTTTCTAGTGTTTTCCAGTAGATGTTGCTGAATTGCATTGTATTTTTTTACCTCTGTGATTTCCCAGTCTTGTTCTTCATGGCTTCAAGCCATGCTGCTTGGGGGTGGGTTTCGTTTTGTCCCCACTGTAATGGAAACCCTTGACCTTCATGGAATCCCACCCCTAGAACCCTCTGTGAATCAGTCACAGAGGAAAACAGTGATTCTACTGCAATAGTTCCTGGTTTACAGATAATATGCTCCTGGACCCAACTGAGAACCCAGGAGAAGAATATATGAGTGGTTGTGAAGATTTCCCTTGTGTTTGAAGATCCCCACAAACTCTATGTTCTCATATGAGACCACATTCAGATTTTAGAAATTTGTTAACAGTTTTTTAAATCCTAACCTGAGGATATGTTTTCATTGAGTTTTATATGTAGAGAGGAATGGAGATGATAGATAGATAGATAGATAGATAGATAGATAGATAGATAGATAGATGATAGATAGATAGATAGATAGATAGATAGATAGATAGATAGGAAAATAGAGATATAGATAGATAGGGAGAGAAAAAGAAAGAAACATTGATGTGAGAGAGAAATGTCAATCAGTTGTACCCTGACCGTGAATCAAAACCACAACCTAGGCATGTGTCCTGACCAGGAATTGAACCTGCAGCCTTTTGGTAAAAGGGATGATGCTCTAACCAATGAGCCACTTGGCCAGGGCTTGTTAACAATTTTTATCTGAACTCTTCTTACTGGCAAATGTTTGCATATGTCACTCCTTGGAGGCATCAATATTTTTCCCTAGGTCACACCCTTTGTTCATGAAACAGGGGAACATCCAATTTTACTTCTCCTCTAGTGATAACTGTTCTTTAAATGATGTACCACTTGTTTCTATCAAACTATTTTTTTTTTTACTCAACTACATATTTTACACAACATAATAAAGAGGTTTGGATGGTATTTCACAATTGTACTGAGTCTTATTGCATTCTGAATATTTGAGCAGGAAGATACTTAAAATGCAACCTCCTGTGAAGGGAGAGAAATAGTCTTCCTTATTGAAAGTTTTCTGAGCATTATATTATGTTAATAGAGGCACCCTGTGCTTTTTGGCTTGTACAGTTGGATTATATGTCTGCAAAATAAATTTATGTTGACAATAAAATAAGCAATTTTACAAATTGCAAGCATCTTAAAGACAAATATTAACTATTAGATTAATAACAAATTCAAGGAAACAAAAGAAAACAGATTTTAATTTCCCAGAAATATATATTGTTTGAATTAGTCTTTAATTATGGGCTGTGGAAAAAACAAGCAAGTCAAACTTCAATTTCTACTAATTGTCTAAAATTTTCTAATTTTGATGTTTATTTTTTTCTTTTAAATAATCTTACATGTATTTCTTTTATTGTAAGAAATAATCAATATATTTTTAAAATCTTTTACTTTACTCTTACAAAAAATTAAATGTTTTAAAATGAACACTAGAAGGAATAAAATCTATCATTTTTCAACTTTGATAGCCACATATGAGCTCATATGCACTTTGTGGAGTGACTGTTAAAAACTATGATGGATAGCTCTGACTAAAAAAAAGTGTCATGTGTGTAATTTCTGCATGATGTACTTTGTTTTTCTGTTAAATACTGATAACCACTTAAAAAGAGTGAATTCCAAGTTTAAAATTCAAAGCTCATTTGTTGTATGTTTATAATAATCTAATAAATACTGGTACTGTCGCTTTTTAAAACTTTCTCATTTATTATTGTCATCTGCCACAGACTATATTCTAGTGTAGTATGTTTATCAACTGAAATAATATCAAATGAAATAGCTTGCAGATTGAACTTGATAATTTATTGCATGATTCTACCAACTTTTCAGAGTGCTAAAGACACATTTCCTTTTGTTAAAAGCTGTGTATTCCATATCTTAGCTGGATGCAATTCTCAACATTTAATTTGCTTGGTCCTTAAGTACACATGTTTATTATTGACTTTATCAGATACTAGAGGCCCAGTTCACAAAATTCATGCACTGGGGGTGGGAGGGTCCCTCAGCCCAGCCTGTATCCTCTCACAGTCCATGACCCATCGTCCTTACTGCCCACCTGCTTGCTGCTCCTTACCACTTGGCTCACTGTTCCTTAGTGCTGCCGTGGAGGTGGGAGAGGCTCCCACCACTGCTGCTGCACTTGCCAGCCAATCCATGCATGGGTGGGGTCTCCAAGGGAGTAGGGGAAGGCTGAGACATGTTCGGCCCTCTGGTCAGGTGATGGGATGCCCTTGCTGGCCCGGGATCCGTTTCCGTTCACACTGGTTGTCTGGAACCATCTGGCAGCTGCTTTTATATTCTTTCTTCCTTGTGGAGCGTCTAGGGAGGGGAAGCAGCCACAGTGCCTGAGGCTGACTTCCAGGAGGCTGGCTCTGTCAGGATTGTGCTGGCGGCGCTGGTACACTGGTGCCTGGCCCATTCTTCATTATTGGACTTGCAGGACTCCTGAGGGAGGTAGTGGCTGCCACTGTGCTGGTGGACCACGAGGACGGGTTGGTCAGCTGAGCGGCACTCCCACTGTGGGAGCTCACTGACCACCAGGGGGCAGCTCCTGCGTTGAATGTCTACCCCCTAGTGGTCAGTGCATGTCATAGCGACCAGTTGACTGGTCATTCAGGCTTTTACATATATAGACTAGGGGCCCAGTGCACAAATTCGTGCATCTTGAAAGGAACTGTGGGCCTTGAGGTTGCAGTGGGCATGGGGCGGGTCTCAGCCCATCCTCCATGCCCCCACCTAACCCCTCCCACCACAGTCCTTGGTCCCTTCTCTGCTGGCAGCCCGGCTCCCACCTCTGCAGCCTCTCCCACATGCTGACCTGCTGATGGCGCGGAGCAATTGGGGTTGGCTCTAGAAGCAGGCATGAGTGGGGCTAGCATCGTCAGTTGGTGCGAGTGGCAGCTGCTGCCCCAGTCGCTCCTCAGGAGCAGGGGGAGGTGGAGAAACCCTCAGGGGTGATTGGGGCTGGCAGCCACCTCTCTCATCCACTGATGGTGCTGAGTGACTGGGGACAGCGCCCGGTGCCGGCAGCAGGTGTGAGCACTGGGTGGGAGCACAGCGTTCAGGAGTAAAGAATTTTCAGCAACCATCAGAGGCTTGCCCTGATGACAGCAACTGACACCCTGCCTTGGTCTGGCAGCCCCACTTACCTGCTCCACCGTCCTGTCACAGCCAATGCCAGCCATGTTCTGCGCTCTGCCACCTGTTGCTGATGCCTGCCATGTTCTGTGCACACTCCTGGTGGTCAGCGCACGTCATCACGACCAGTTGTTCGGTTGTTCCACTGTTCAATCTATTTGCATATTAGGGATATCTATACTAATAAAAGGGTAATATGCTAATTAGACTGGGAGACCTTCCAGGAGATCTTCCAGACGTCCTTCCGGACAAAGTCATGGTGGCAGAGCTGAGGCAGAGGTGGTTAGGGGCAATCAGGCTGGCAGGAGGGGGCAGTTGGGGGTGATCAGGCTGGCAAGTGGGGTAGTTGGGGGTGATCAGGCCAGCTGGGGGGGAAGTTAGGGGTGATCAGGCCAGAAGGGGGGTCATAGGGGGTTATCAGGCAGGCAGGCAGGTGAGTGGTTAGTAGCCAGCAGTCCCGGATTGTGAGAGGAATGTCCGACTGCAGGTTTAGGCCCAATCCCACAGGGATCGGGCCTATACCGGCAGTCAGACATCCCCCGAGGGGTCCCAGATTGGGGAGGGTACAGGCCAAGAGTTAATTTAGCCTCCCACCTCTGTGCACGAATTTTGTGCACCTGGCCACTATTGTCAATTTGTGACTGTTGCAAAACTGGATTCTAATTTTTTAAAAGATAAATATAGTCCAACTACCTAAAACATGCAAAAGCAAGTTTTCATAATAACCTTAATACAATTTAATATGTCACATTTTTGGCAGAAACCAGAAAGTTTAGGCTATTAAGATTAAGTCTGAGGTTTTCATAGAGATTACGTTTTTAAAACATTCTGTGACTATTCAGTTTATTTGATGTCGGGCTAAATAAACAAGAACAACAATAATAAAAACAAAACACCAGCTCAAATCCTGTTGACTCTATGCTTGGGTTTTTTTTTTTTTTTTTGGTACCATTACATAGCATTACAGCAATAAGCTCTTCAACCCCAAATGTGTTATGGTTGGGGCAATTTATTCTAGCTTTCAAGTATTATTATTTTATTTTTTAGAGGAACTTGATTTAAATTTGTGTATTGCCAAGGGAAAGGAGCCAAGAACATGGATAGAGAGGTAAGATTGATATAACAGTAATCTCCTTTATGACTTTTTTTCCTTTAAAAGCAGCCTTTTAAGCTTTATTTTTCATAATAATATCGATAGAGAAATAGTATAAAAGTGAGTAGAAATTTAGCCTTCTTTGTAGCACTCATGGGTAAAGAGGATGATTAACGAGTGTAGCAGACAATGTCATAGCAAAAGAGTCCATAGAACTTAAACAAAAGTGCATTCAGAATTTCCAAGGATTCCCAGGATCCATAGTAGGCCCTCATTGTGCCTGTCCTCTGTTTCTATTTTTTGAGTAGATTTATAAACACAGCACCACATATTTTCATGTGGCTTATTGCCCAGGGGCAGAATTAGATTTACTGCACTGGAACTGTGAAGCTTGTGAGTTTTGGGCAAGGGCTACAGTGAAGTAAGTAGTGTAATTGTTTTTGTGGAGTGACCGTGGGACCTCCTCTGTTCTGAATTACACATGGCTCAACCCTTTGACCTAACCAGATTCAGCAATGGCTGGCAGAACTCCGAAAGTTGTGCTGAAAGGGTCCATCACTGACAAACTGGAATGTTATCTGTCAGGCGAGATGTGGGCCAACAACCACATTAAACTATAGTAATTACTAGTGAGACCACGTTGTGACCACCTCAACTTCATTTAACCCATCATCATATCATCATTATTTCAGCACGAAGCGCCAGGGTGGGAAAATTTTGGAAGCCAAATGTAGCATGGATAACTTTCATTAACAGAGATTTTAAATATTGGATCATCTTCAAGGACATTTTGCCAAATTATCCGAACATATTATTATGATTTTTAAAAAATACATAAGGTTTGAGAAATGCTATAAGCTATAATTAAAATTTTTCATCTCGATGAGTTTAATTTAAAATCTCTACAAATAGATAATAGCCCACTGATATATTTCCTCAAAGGAATTAATGCTAAGGGATATGCAGAGAAATTCTAGTAAAGGTTGGAGAGAATTATATGTGCTGATATTTTTGCATTTATGGAGAATTTATCTATATCTATGTATGTATGATTTTAAAATCATCCACTTGGAATTTTATCTTCAATTCAGTTGGTTACATTTTAAATGGCAGTATAAGCAGAGAACTTTGGTTTACTTTCAGGCACTTGACATTATTTTCCAAACTAGTCATGTTTCTGAAACATGTCTGTAATTTTATATATATACATACATACACACATACATATATATGTGAAGTCAAGTATATGTTCATTGCATCAGGTTCCTTATATCCTTAAAATTCTTGATATACTCATTTGTTTATTCACTAAATTAAAGCCCTCTATAGGTATTTTACAACAAATTGGAAATAATTTAGCATTTACATTTATTCTTTCTCATCTGTGGCAACTTGGGCTTAATATTAACTCGATTCTTAGTTACATGACATTTAAAATTTCTTTAAAGAATGAGCAACTTTAACTACATTTTTTAGACATTTTATTCTTTAACTCTAAGGACTCTAAAACATGAGCAAAGGTAGGTCCCCATGAGATCATTTACAAATGAAAAAGAAATCATTATAATACCCTAATAAAGCCTCTAAAAAAAACGGCATTTAGCCCTACCTTTATTCTCATTAGCAGTAAAGAGTTTGCTCTCCCATAATCTAACATGCGGTGCTTAGAGCAGACAGGTGCAAATTGCAAGCTGTTTCACTTTGGCTGTTGTCCCCTAAATCGACAAAGTAATAGACTGGGAGAACAAAAAAGGTTCCAGCTCAAGCTGCATAAATGCAGTCTTAACAAGGACACACCAGCTGGCTAGGAGAAGTCAATGCAGCAAATACTAAATACTAAATACTAAATATTTCCTTGCCAAGGAAAACGGCTTCAATAACACCCGTACCTTTTATTATTGAAATGATGTTCCTTCAACATTATTTGGCTTGATTGTAAAGGCGACGCTGTGGCGGAAGCAATAGCAACAGAAGCCAACATACCTGTTCCTGTTTAGCATCATTACACTTCTCTCAGCGATTCAGGCATGATTAGCTTCCTGGAGGTGGACCAGATTGACAGGATTTTTATCCAGGTCTTTTTTTTTTTTTTTTTTTTTTTTTAAAAAAAAGTTTTTTTTAAAACCTGCAAGCAAAGCCCCCAGAGCAGTGAAACAACAAAAACAATCACCACCACCCGCTCCTTGCTAAAGTGATGAATCTGCTGAGCTAGTTTGCAGAAAAACGCCCACAAAAACAGTTGTTCATAGTAGAAACACCTACATTTACTTCATGGGAGAGACATGCCATGCCCATGTGTTTAGGAATCTAAGGTATGCGTTTCTGAAAAGGGGCCCTAACTTGGTCATTCCAAAGTTGCTTCTCTTTGTGACTTCACGGTGTGCACTGGAACTGCTGTCTGGGAGAAGTAACTTCAACTCTGAGGCTGCTGACAAAGTCCCACTGTGTGAACTTACTGTGCACTCCAGGGGAGGGAGAGAACCCCTTGTTTACTCCTGGACAGAAGAAAACAGCTAGACACAAATGAGGGCTGACGGTTTCATGAAGCACAATTGGTTGATCCCAGATGCAATCTGACTGCTCTGAACTGAGCGGTGATCTGTGCAGTATGCAGAATTCACTTTCTTGCTGGTCTGTGCCCAACAGGCTCGGAGCAGTGCTGCCTGCGCCCCTGGCCATGGCTTTGAGTGCAAACAGAGCTGAACACTGCGCTGTGGGACCCGATTTCTTCTGACAACAATCACATTCTTTTAAAAGCTTCATGGTTTTGCTTGCCATTGGTCATAAATGCACTTGTGATGGTTGTTTGTGTTCGCTACTCTATCATAGATTTCTTTTCAAGTTGAGAGTGTAGTAATCAAAAGATATTTTTTGTTTTTTAATGAAAAGGAAAATATCAAAAACACTGTTGGCTCTTACAAATTTCAGGCAGTTTTATTCTTTTCACTTTAAACCACAAAATATTACTTATATTATAGTTACATTTCACAGGATAAGCTTACCGAAAAAAAAATAAGGTCTGATTTGTCACTATTCAAGCATATATA